AACAAGATCACTAATGCATAGATGTGCCTTATCAATTCTACTCCATCAGGGAGAGAATTAACATGAGCATTTTAGAAAATTTCCGTTGCAGGGTCATATTAAAATTCTTCCTCTTCCCTCTTGGCACAAATTCCAGAACAACCTTTCTCCTCCCTTGCAACTTAAAACTGGTAGGTTCTTCCATTTGTATTACAACTTACCATTCAAATACTACAAAGTAAATCATTAATACATTTGAATAAAAAAAATAAAAAAAGCAGAAAGAAGTGTTGAATTATAAAATCAATAATTGAGTATGTAAATTTAGCCAATCAGAAAGAAGTGTTGAATCGTTCAAATACTAATGTTTGCAAGTGATTCTATCATGTTAGAAAAGGAAGGCAGCAGTCATATAACTCACCTGACCATCTGACCCAGAAAATTCAGTATCTATGGCATCACGTGTTGTTCCACTAACTGGACTGACTATTGTTCTGTCCTCTCCAACCAAAGCATTCAGAATACTACTTTTACCAACATTTGGCCGGCCAACAATCGCAATTGCAGGAACATAATCTTCTTCTTCATTGTTTTCTGTCTATAGAAGTATAAATAAGTTCATTGACTTGCTTTTCCTTTATTAATTTAAGTTCAATGAAATTTTTAAATCATATTGAAGATGAATCCATCAGAATAAACATTTAAAGAAATACATTTTACATTTAAAAAGAAAAGCTAGAGAGATGTTGCACTCAATGAAAAGTATGTCAAATATAAGCATATTGGTTGTTCCACTAATTGCACAAGAAAGTAAAAATATTTTATAAATAGGAACGAACCAGCATCTTTTCCCATTGCAAAGGAAACATATACCTCAATTTTTTCTAGTTGTGAGCAAACAAGATCAAGAAGCTCTCCAGTTCCACTCCCAGATATAGCAGATATAGAAAGTGGTGAATACCTAGTTGACCAAGCAAACAAGTAATAACTATCAATAACACGAAGAAATAATTCAAAAATCCAGATTCTGTGTCGATAAAAACCAATTTTCCATGCTGTTAGATGTAAGAATGGCATTATAGTTTCAAAAGCATGGGACAAGGAGTTAAACTGTAATACAGCTGTATGAGGAGAGATGTGATGGACAGGAAAAGCTGTAAATGGCAGCATATCTGAAATTATTGTTTTTCATTCGTCACCTAGATCAATGACCATGGATCAATAATGGATCTTAATGCTATTCTAAACCAATCATTGTCGAAAAAGATGGAAAATGAAACCTATATTAGCTGTCTTTCAACATAATAAGACAGTATGGAAAAGAAAAAGATTAAAAGAAATATTATTGTATTCTATGAGAGGCTACAAAAATTACATGATTATGTTCCTGGGCATTGCTTTCTGTAATTTATGTGTAACACGTTAGTACCACCTTGTATCTTTGCCCAATTATCATTGTTATGTTTTATTTTCTGTTTATAAGAAACAATTCTTGCATTCTCCAACAATAAAGGTATAAATCTCAAAACATAAACCAGCGAGGTGAAAGCATCAAAACCTAGATCTAAAAACTGCTTCACAACCAGACGTGACTAGAACATGGAAAGCTTGCAGATGATAGGTAAGTCTGAGAAACTATTGAAATTTCTTACTCATGAGAAGCCAAGAGATATTCCAAGGACAAGCTGTGCTTCCCCCCCTTTTTTAATTGGAAAGCTAGAAGCTATTTTGCATTTCCATTACTTAGATACTATTTGAGCCCCATTTTTTGGGGAAACGTGTTTTGGAATAGTGATTTTTGGAGACTGTGTGGTTAAAAAATAGGAAAAGGTTTTGAGTTTACGTGTAAAATTATTTTATGAAAAAATGTGTGGTTGAAAATGAATTTGCAGAAAAATGGGGCCCAAACAGGGGCTTAATATTCTCTCTTTTATGTTTCTGCTTCCTTTATTCTTTCACCTGTATTTCTTTGAGGAATACAATGAGGAAGAGAATGATGCCAGATAATTTAAACATCTGATAATGAAAATTGGAGCCTCCAAGTCTGTGATGTTCATATCGTGAATACCACCTATTCATGAGCAAGGTTGACATGAAGGATGAGTTCCTGCAGAGAGAAGAAATTTAACTCACCCCAAAGACCAGAATTCTGAAGCTTGCATTACTCCTTTACGAGGAGATTCGCACTTGTTGACAGCAAGAATAATACATTTGTGTGAATAGTTTTTCCGTAACCAATCTCCGATTTCCATGTCAGACGCAGTTAAACCTGCCTGTTTTGAGTTGGTTAATTCATATGTCCACAATAAATAAGAATTACACACGAATAAAAATGGGATCACCATATAATGATATCCGGAAATAAAGATAGGTAAACTATTTACCCATTGCTTTGAGCCCATCATCTTTTCAAACTTATACACTACATAATAAAACCCTTGAAATTAGCTTATAAGCAAGCTACCATCCTCGTTCCATATTAAAATCCTCTCTCTCAATTCGCATGCACAAGAAACCCACTTTTTAGCAACTCTCACTGTTAGAATAACCATCTTATTGTTTTTCTTCTTTTTATTTTTAAATACGCTAGTAATTCAGGCCTACGTGTTAAAAGAAGGGGCAGCATACACATTAACAATTTCTACTACTCAACTATTCCATGGATACATTCTACCTGACGTCAGTTAGAAAAAACTATTCTCCTCAGTTAATCCAGAAAGCATCTAATTTCTTTAAGGTCTCATTTAAAAGTATAATGATATGAGATTCACACAAAGAAAGTGAATCCTGATACATCTTCAAAGGGCAATTTTTTTAATAATTTTGAGCTAGGCTGCATAACTAAAATAAGTAGATAGATGCACAAGGTTATCAAAGAAACAGCAGCTCAATGAATGATCCTACCTGACCATCAACAAGGAATATGATGACAGATGACTCTTCTACAGCCATTGTAGCTTGTTTCTCAATCATCGAAGGCATCCTGGCAACAGCAGCCTCCCTGGAGGCAAGGGGAATCCCCTCCATGCCAATGGTTGTAGAGACAGCCAATTCTTCCATCACATTGGTCTGTGACTTAGAAATAGTTAGAACACCTCCAGTATCCACTACCATGAATTCGTAGTCTCCCCAAAATGATCTACCATACAAACGATCCCTTGTCACACCAGGTTCATCTACCACAATGGCTCTGTTCCCCTGCAAAGAGATCAGCTGAGCAAATTAAGCTTTGCTTTTAAAAATACAAGACAGATAATAAACAAAAATCTGAATGAAAGAGAAGTTGAAGTATCTAATCATATTCTCGGGAAAGAAAGCAAATGTACATATGAGTTAGAGTTAGGACAAACCAATTGTATCTAAGAAGAATGCCACATACCCCAACAAGACGATTGAACAGTGCTGATTTACCAACATTTGGCCTTCCGACAATTGCAACCCTTGGAAGAAGATGATCTGGAACCTGCAGATAAATTTAATTGACAAGAATATGTAAGCAAAATCTATGATGATGCACTGAGCAAAGATAATATCCTAGCATTCGATAAACTTGGAGTCTATAATAGGCATTGACATGTTCAATTGAGACAGAATAATCCTATTCTGTCTCTGATTCTAATAATCATGTATTATCTTATTAATAATGAAGCTTCCTTTATTGTGATGATCAGGTGAAGAATAAGGAAACCAAAAAAGGTGACATGATGCATGGACCCAAGGGCCTTGGAATTATATAAACCACTTGAATTCTATAAGAATGCATTGTGCAGCATATTTTTACATTCGCACTCACAGTATTCTAATCAAGTGCATATGCATTTTGTGCAAACTTCACTGACTGAACACATGCTCTCCTTCTCAATCTCCCTCTCTCTTGACTTTTCATTAAATAGAGAAAACAGATGAAATAGATGTGGAAGGCCTTAATAAAACATATATAACTACTGAGACAAGAATTTCACTGACATTGTAAGTGGTATTATTTCTCCTCTTCTGCTTCCCACGAGTGTCCTTTTGACTGGAAGTCTCATCTTCTGAAGCATCAGAGCAATAATATGTGAAATATCAACATTGACAGACAATGGACAAAAACTAAACACCAAACGAGAAACTTCAATAAGAATTTTCCTACTTGAAATGCAACTTGCCCTTCAATATTACTCAATTTAATTTTGCACTCTTCGTACTGGTACACGCATATTTTTGAAATCCTTCAACTGCTAGCAACTTGTCCACAAAATAGTTAAATTGTGAAGGGGTTAATGTCAATATCTACATACAATAAGCTTGAGTCACTAGGTACAAATTATTTTTAGGTTTTTGAGTCCAATTCACGACTGGCAGCCCAACAGTAACTGATCTGATAACCGATGCTGCATTGTCCACTGATATTTTAAACCAGGACCCTACCCTCATGCATTTAGTTATTCTAGTTGTATACAAGAGGATTTAATTTATTATTGGATCATTGCATTGTAAAAGAATTTAACAAGGAGAAAGTGACACTGGGTATTCAAAAATTGCCTGCCCTTCTCTCCCATGATTTTAAATTATCAGCACTAAGAATATTGAAAAGTCCAGAAAGAATCAAAAGTCATTTTCCAATTTATGGCTTGTCTATAGAGTATTATGTTTCCTCATGGTTTATTTAATAGTAAAGAGAATAACAATATACATGTTAGTTTTTCATTTCTTTCCGTTCTCTAGCAATAACCTTGAGGCTCCAATTCTTTAGGAGGGGTTCCCCTTTATGTCTGAAACTATGTCCTGATTACTGATGAATTAAATTTCTTATACATTTCATTTCTGTCTCAACCATTTAGCTCCAAGTGTACTCTCCTCAGGCCCCTGGATGCAAATATTTCATAATTAATGTATCTACAGATGTATGCATACAAAAATTTACACATTTACAAAATGCATGCATATGAGAAGGTGCATTCATTTTGTTTCTAATGCTCATTCCACAACAAATGTAAGTTAATCACAGAACCAAAGTGAATTATCACTCCATCCAAACCAATGGGCAGCCATTGAAACACAACTTATGAAAAATCAGCATCTGTGACACGCCCCTAGTTCAAATGTACAAGGAAACTTGACGTGGCGAAAATATTATAGGGAAGATGAACAATTACAAATTGAGAAAATTCTCAAGGAAGATTTTATTGAATTCAACTACTGCCTCTAAGGGCTTACAACTGATTAAATAGAAGAAAAACTTAGGAGAATCCGGAAAATAAAATAAAGATATTTTTTTCCAAAAATGGAAAATATATGAGATGATTACTAAGATGGAAAATACTTATCTTCAGGATCATCCTCCAACAAACGGAATCTAAATCCGAATTTCATGGAAAGAGATATTGCAAAAATGAAAATTACCATAAATAGCAAAAACGATTAAACAAGGGCCTAAACGATGAATTTTGCCCGAAATTGGCCTTGCGTCAGGGCCGAAGGCTCTAAGTTTTATTCCTTGGCTCGACGCCAATCAAATTAGACTAGCGATTTGCCAAAAACAAGCAAACCCAAAGTCATCATGAAATCATTTGCCCCTTTTTGCCAACTTTTGCCTTGTGATGGTCCCATTTTGCCATGAACTATAATTCCTTATGCACTTCATCATTCTCCCCAGGGTGAGAAAAATTCGCCCTCGAATTTGACGGGAAAGGAGTTTCATCATCATCATCGGAATTATCACCATGAAATGGCACCAATTCGGAGGTACGAATATGGCTGGACAGCTTTAAACGGTAAGCATTCGGATTGATCTTTTCAATGACCTCCAATGGACCAATCTTCTTCGCAGAAAGCTTGTTGTATTCATGAGCAAGAACACGATCCTTTGTTAACACTGCCCAAACAAAGTCACCTACCTCAAACTCAACATGTCGGCGTTTGAGATCTGCAGCACGCTTATACTCAGCGACAGCAGCCTGCAACTGATCATGAGCCTGTGAATGAACCTGCTGCAGTTGTTGAATAAAGTCTTCAGCCTTACCATGCATTTTAACAGAAGTAGAAACTGGAACCAGATCAAGAGGACCACGAGGAACAAGGCCATACACCACTTGGAACGGACTAAAACCTGTACTTCGGTTAACAGCATGATTGTGAGCGAATTCTGCTTGACACAACTTCTGATCCCAAGACTTGATGTGATCACCAACTAAACAACGTAGTAAATCACCTAAGGAACGGTTAACAACCTCTGTTTGACCATCTGTTTGAGCGTGATATGCACTGTTGAAGTCCAGCCGTGTATTCACAAAGCGCCATAGGCTGCGCCAGAAGTGGCTGAGGAAACGAATATCCCGATCGGACACAATAGATGTAGGCAGTCCATGAAGGCGATAAACTTTACGAAAATACAGTAAGGCTACATTGACAGCATCTGTAGTCTTCTTGCAGGGGATGAAATGTACCATTTTTGAAAACCGATCAACCACTACGGAGATTGAATCAAAACCACGCTGGGTCCTGGAAAGTCCCACAACGAAATCCATGCTCACATCTGTCCAAGGCTGGGTTGGGATAGATAGGGGCATATACAAGCCCGCATTGGTCGCCTTGCCCTTGGCCAAGCGACAAACCCGATAACGCTCCACAAACTTGTTGACATCTTTGCGCAATGATGGCCAAAAGTAAGAAGCAGCAACAAGCTGCAATGTTCGGTCACGACCCACATGGCCCTCATTATGCAACTCTTGAAAGATCTTTAACCTCAAACTGCCCTTTGAAACACACAACCGATTGCCATGAAAAAGAAAACCATCAACCCATGTAAACTCCGACTGCACACCCTCCTGCAACTTCTGGACAACATGGGAAAAGTATGGCTCAGTAGCATATAAGTCACACAACCTGTAAAAACTTGGAACCTCCACTCGCATTTCTATAAGGAGCGTTTGGCGCCTACTCAACGCATCCACAATTTTGTTAAAGACACCTGCCTTGTGCTTGATCACAAAAATAAACTGTTGTAGATAAGCAATCCAAGAGGCATGTCGAGCAGAAATCTTATCCTGAGTACCAAGGTGTTTAAGGGCATAATGATCTATATACAAAATGAACTCCTTATGGAACAAATAGTGACGCTAATGTTGAACAGCCTGGACTATTGCATAGAACTCCACATCATAAGTACTATACTGAGACTTCGAGCCAGAAAGCTTCTCACTGAAATATGCAACAGGGCGGTTGTTCTGACTCAGCACACCACCAATACCCACTTTCGAAACATCACAATGCAGCTCAAATGGTTGGGTAAAGTCAGGCAACACCAAAACTGGAGCAGTAGTCAACTTCTGCTTAATCAATTGGAAAGACGACTCTGCCTCGTGAGTCCACTGAAACCTACCATCCTTCATGCAATCTGTAATTGGTGCCATGATGCTACTGAAATGCGGTATGAACCTGCGATAGAAGGAAGCAAGGCCATGAAAACTCCGCACCTCAGTGACAGTCTTGGGCTGTGGCCACTGACTTATCGCCTCTACCTTAGATGTATCAACTGCTAACCCCACCTTCGACACCACATAACCCAGGAACACCACACTATCAGTGAGAAAGGAACACTTCTTCACTGCAGCATAGAATTTATCCCTGCGAAGAACTGAAAGAACTTCCCGAAGGTGCCGAACATGTTCATCATCGTTAGCACTATAAATTAAAATATCATCAAAGTAGACCACAACAAATTTACCGATGAATGGGCGAAGAGCCTGATTCATAACCCGCATAAATGTACTGGGCGCATTTGAGAGGCCGAAGGGCATGACTAACCACTCATACAATCCTTCCCTCGTCTTAAATGCGGTCTTCCACTCATCCCCACGTCTAATCCGAATCTGATGGTACCCACTCTTTAAATCAAGCTTGCTAAACACACAAGCACCGGTAAGCTGATCCAACAAGTCATCTAGGCGAGGAATAGGAAAGCGGTAACGCATCGTAATCTTATTGATTGCCCTACTATCCACGCACATGTGCCATGTGCCATGTGCCGTCCTTCTTCGGTGTGAGAAGAGTAGGAACAGCACAAGGACTAAGACTCTCCCTGATGTGTCCTTTTGCCAGAAGCTCCTCAACTTGCCTGCGCAACTCTTCATGCTCAGTGGGGCTCATTCTATAATGCGCTCGGTTAGGTAGGGCAGCTCCAGGCACCAAGTCAATCTGATGTTGAATATCCTGCAGTGGTGGTAGTCCATCAGGCAGCTCTTCTGGGAAAACTTCATGAAACTCCTTTAGCAATGACTGAACTGCGAGAGGGACTTCATGCTCACTGTCAACCGACTTTCCAATCAGCACATACACTACCCCAGACTCCTTCATCTCGAACTTCTTTCTGGTCAGTAAATTGGCATTGTTCCCAACTGTCTGTACTGAACCCTTATTCGGTAGTAACACAATTTTCTTTCCCCCAAACAGAAAGCTGTACGTGTTGGTATATCCATCATGCAGTGAATGCCTGTCAAACTGCCACGGCCTCCCTAATAGTAAATGACATGCATCCATCTCTACTACATCACATAAGACCTGATCCTTATAGGTAGGTCCGATGGAGAAGCTGATTCTAGCACATTGAGATACTTCTATGTCATTGCCTCTTTTCAGCAAGGCTAATTTATAAGGTTTGGAATGTTTCTCAGTCTGCAAACCCAGCTTCTTAACGACCTCCTCAGCCACCACATTCTCACAACTACCAGAATCAATAACAAATTTGCACACCTTCCCTCTAACAGTACATGTTGATTGAAAGATATTATTACGCAACCAATCAGTGTTATTCTCCAAAGGAGTCAGGAAACTCCTCCTCACCACCAGTACCTGACCCACATCACCAACCACAAACTCTTCCTCTTCTGTTGCTTCTTCTTCGCCCTCACCGTCCAATACAGGCGGACCTTTATAATCGCCATTTCCCTCATCAACAAAGAGTCCCCTGCGCGGATTCTTTGGGCACTCAGACTGCCTGTGGCCTGTAACTCCGCATCCAAAACAACGAATACCAACCCCAGGACGTGTTGGTTGTTGGGTAGGATTTGTTCTAGGAGGACCAGATTGAGCAGGATTACCAGGACATGCCACTTGATGTTGTGGATTACTAGAAGAACTCCCTGCAATGAAAGGACTAGTAGTTTTTCTGGACTGTTGCTTCTCTATCTGTATTGCCCTCTAATGTGCTTTAGAAACTGTCACAAGATCAAACATATTGAGAGTATCCTGTATTTGGGGACGAAGACCACCCACGTACCGTGACACCAACTGCTCCTCCGTCTCCATCATCTCGTTTTTCGTAATCAACATATAAAAATCCGTGGTATAGTCACTAACCATTTTCCCACCTTGACGCAGATTCTGTAGTTGTTGGTACATGATCCACACATAATTGTAAGGCATAAATTGTTTCTTCATATGTTTCTTCAATTTGTCCCACGATGCAAGCTTAGGTTTCCCCAACCTGGATCTTGTCACCTTAGTCTGCTGCCACCACGCCGCTGCTCGCCCACGAAGCCTCGTTGCAACGAGAGGCACACATGTATCAGCAGGAACCTCTTTAAACTCCAAGACCTCCTCCACTGCAGTCACCCAATCCAAGAATTCCTCTGGACTCAACCCACCATGAAATTCTGGAATATCCACCTTAAATCCTGATTCTCAACGTCGGTTGTCCTCCTGACCACCCCTTCTCCGGTGAACTGGCAGATCCAATGGTTGTTCAAGCGGTGCAAACGGATTCTCATCATCGGAATCCCCAAGCTGTTGGCCTGTAGGCGCAGGCTGCTGCGGCATAAGCGCAGCGACCTGCCGTGTCAGCAATTCCACTTGTTGACGTAGTTGTGCAACTTCATCACGTCTATGTACCTCCTCTACCGGGGCATCACGAGCTTCAGGACGTCTCCTTGGCGGCATGTTGAAGGAACGATTTCGGCTCTGATACTAACTGACGTAACGAAAATATTATAGGGAAGATGAACAATCACAAATTGAGAAAATTCTCAAGGAAGATTTTATTGAATTCAAGAACTACTGCCTCTAAGGGCTTACAACTGATTAAATAGAAGAAAAATCTAGGAAAATCTGGAAAATAAAATAAAATAAAATAAAGATATTTTTTTCCAAAAATGAAAAATATGAGATAATTACTAAGATGGAAAATACTTATCTTCAGGATCATCCTCCAACAAACGGAATCTAAATCCAAATTTCATGGAAAGAGATATTGCAAAAATGAAAATTACCATAAATAGCAAAAACGATTAAACGAGGGCCTAAACGATGGATTTTGCCCGAAATTGGCCTTGCGTCAGGGCCGAATGCGCTGAGTTTTATTCCTTGGCTCGACTCCAATCAAATTAGACTAGCAATTTGCCAAAAACGAGCAAACCCAAAATCATCATGAAATCATTTGCCCCTTTTTGCCAACTTTTGCCTTGTGATGGTCCCATTTTGCCATGAACTCTAATCCCTTGTGCACTTTATCAAAACTGATGGAAGCAATGCAAGTGCTGACAAACCCAGCTTATTCTTCCTGTTTTGCTAGTTATTAGTTTCGTGTACTGTTAATTAGTACTAGGGAGATTACATTTCTTCTAATGCCTGTACAAGAAGAATACAGACATGTTGCAATCAGCAAATTCTGTTATTGTTTCTTCAAATCCAATTCCACTACAGTCTCAAGAAAATTGACCTACGGTGCATTAATGCTTCCATCCAAATCAAGGTCATCTTTAGAAGCACAGGCTACTCGAAAATGCCAATGCTGCATTGCGTGTATCAATGCTCAAACCTTGCTCTGGCATTACCATACCTAATCTTAGGTAACAAGGGACTAATAGTTTTTCCATTTATGAAGCTTTAATTTTGGCAGTTTTGGGCATACACATAATTAAGAAATGTAGAGCGAGCGAGAGAGATTGAGAAGTAAACCGATTTTCAATTGGTGAGACAAGGAATCTGAATAGTCCTTCACAGCTTGTTGGGCTTGGCGTTCAAACTCTTCAAAATTAATCTTCTCCTCCTCCTCGGACGAATCGCATTCAAGCTCGTACTCTTCTTCATTTACGTTTATTTCTGCTAACAATAATTCTTCATTTTCTTTGTCGGAAGAGAACTGGGTGGCAGCCGGCGGAGAAAGAAATCGACACCGAATATTAAGGTGGCAGAGGCGGGGCTTGGAGAAAGAGAACCCCGTTGGAGAAGGGAAACACTTGGGGATTGGAGAGAACAAAGGAAAAATTGAGGTGCAAAGGTCCAGTGATGACATTTGCTTCATTCTGTGTGTGGAATTTTCAGTGGAAGAAACAGGGTTTATCCTTTTCCTTTATGGAGGAAGAAATTTTTTTTTAAAATAAGAATAATGCCACGTGGATATGCTTTTGAATTTTGGAAAGCAATTACGCTACAGTGCCCGAGTTTTTTTTGATAGAGGGAGTGACTTACTCTCACAATAGTTGATGCCCCCACTTTTTTTTGAACTTTTTTATTCACGTCAGTTCTATGATATATGAGAGAATGTTAACTATTCGAGCAAAAAAATATAATTTAAGTAGCAAAATTCTTTGGAAAAAGCCTCAAGTACAGTAATTCCTTACCAAATTCATCCAGATGACGTGGCAAAATCTAATTCGCCTGTTTTTGTATTTTTTTCATCTTCCAATAATTACATATCATGTATTGTCGGTCAAAGTTTTTGTTAAAATTTTCTGTATAGCATTATTGTTGAATTTTTGTGCACCATGTGCACGTTAGAGACCTCCATCTAGGGGTGGGCGCTGGTCGGTTCGGTTCGATTCTCTTTAGAATCGAACCGAACCAAAATTTTCGGTTATCTAGTAAACGGAACCGTCGGGTCCAAATATAATTATGGAACCGTTCGGGTTCGGTTCCATTCGGTTCAGTTCCGTTCCGTTCGGTTCTATACTATAATTAAATTTTTTAACATTTATAACAACATTATATAAATACAACTAATGATACATTCAATGGTTTTGGAATGCCATAAACTAGTAGACTACCTTGTTCAAATGATCGCTACGGTCAAAGTTTCGGTCGGCGGAGGTCGCAACTTCGATCGGAGGTCACAACATCGGCCGACGATTGTATAGATTTTGAAATGTCAGCGAGGCTGCGAGAGTGAGTGCGAGAGTCGAGACAACGTTATGTACTTTAGTGTATGTGTTTATAGTTATTTGGTGGATTGGATCTTATTGGTCTAAGAAATGAAACAATAAAAAGGGTAATGGGGCCAAAAATTAAAAAATTAGAAATGAAACAAATTATTGGGCCAAAAATTTGGATTTAGAAATTGTTAATTTGTTTAGAAAAAATTAAAATTAAAATAATTTGATTTACTCAATATAAAAAAATTAGAAAGATTCGGTTCTTATTCGGTTCTTCGATTCTTGGTCTAGAACCGAGAACCAAATCGTACCCGTCGGTTCTCAATTCAGATACCCGTTCGGGTATTTAATTTGATAAGAATCGTTGGGTTCGGTTCAGTTCGATTCGGGAAATTTGCCCAGCCCTACCTCCATCTCCTGTAAAAGTCAAAAAATAGTTGCAAATGCCAGGTGGCGACGAAGTTTTCGAAGCCAAGGAAGCTAGATCCGACCTGGGCCCCCTCACATACACTATTTTCAAAATCCATATAGACCGTCAGATCAAAATCAAACCGTTCGAATTTGCTCTCCTCACTTACCGTCATTTCCAATTCAAAAGTCAAATCTTCATGCCATAAAAAGGATGGCGTCTTTAGCCCTCACTTCCTCCCCAAAGCACTACTTCCGGCCAATCTCCTTCGCTAGACCTCGCATTCCTACTTTGAAATCTATCCCCTTTGTTAAATTTGTCGTTAAAAATAGCAGTATTAACTCTCCAAAACCCCTTAACTACCCACAATGAAGAGATCATATTCAACCCATTATTAAAAAAACAACATTCTTACTTCCTTCATCGAAAGGGGAGCCGATCATGACTGCCTTTGTCTTCGCGGCTTCTGCTTCGCCACTGTCGAAGCAATCGAGGAAAGAAGAATCATGCTTACTGTACAAATATTTTTGACAATATTGTTGATAAAATGCCACGACACACTGTTAATGGATAGTTTAAAAAATAAATTTCTCTTTCAGTCCAACACTTTTTTCCCAGATACCAACATTGTCAACAATATTGTAAGAAAACATTGTACAGATGACATTTCTCCATCTATGCTTCTAACAGCCATGGCTGCGAATCCATTGGCGCGAACTTGACTTTAAACACGATAAATCAGACTATATGATGGATGGATTGGGCTAAGGCTGCAATTATTCCAAGACTAGTATCATTGATTGTGGTTCCATTGCTGTTGTATGTAATTTATCCACCCCTGGTGAAGAGAAGCCTTGATGCACCCAAGGCTTCATTCAGATTTTTAGACACCGCTTCATTCAGATTTTTGTCTAATATCGCGTTTAAAATTTTGTTGTGTTGGGCGTTATTAGACATTCTCAATCCCAAAAGCTAGCTCAAAAGGTAAGACTTTCCCACACATTTATAAACTAATCATCAGCTCTTTCCACAATCGATGTGAGACAATTTCAACAATCTCCCCTCACACATCGGGCCTTGCGGTGACCAAATCCCGTCTCCCCCTCACACAATCTCGCATCTTCTTTGACAATTGGGTCTGAGATTTGTTGATAACTTGGACTCTGATACCAGTTTTGAGTGATATTGGATCTTTTTAGCTTTAAAAGCTAACTCAAGAGGTAGACTTTCCCTCATACTGGTAAATTGACCACCAACTCCTTCCACAGTTGATATGGGACAACCTCAACATGTTGTTCTATCCATTTTTCTTTCAATTTTGGTGCTAGCATACTGCCAAGATTAAAATAGAGGAAATTAGATGGGGTGGGGTCACTTTTAGATATAGAGAGTGAATTGTGTCCACCAATTATTATCTTGTAAAAATAATGTCCAACATTTGTAATTTTTCTCAAATATACCCTTTTACGTCTTCCTTTTTGCATTAGTTTTAAACCGTCTAGGAATTCTCATCAAATGCCGAGTGAACTTAGACATGCTCTCCCTTTCTTTTTGTAAAATTTCAAACAATATAGGCATCTCGTCAAATTAGGAAAAGTTTACAGGAGTTTCTACTCCACGTAGACACTCTAGTCTGCCTTTTCAACTTTGCCAAGATTTATTTGCCTGGGGAAATTTTAGTAAAAGGGCAGTCATTTGCTTGACTGAATGACCATATTTTAATAAAAAATTCGGTGGGAGACAAATTTCATTTTGACTGGAAAAAATTATACACTAGTCAGAAATTTTTTCCATTAATACATGTCTGGTAGAGTGTGATTGGACTCTGATTATCATCATCATCATCATTATTATTATTAGTTATCAGACTATTTATTGGTTTAATATGGAGGGGATTGTGTTATTTTCGGATCATAGAACTTTTACAAAAATCTGAATCTTGAAAGTTTTTTCCCTTTTAAAATAATTGAGACCACTTGATTTAAATTCAGTAGTGGATCGCACCCCCAAAAGAAGACCAATCATGAATACTTTTGACACTAAACATAGGATATTGTGTTCTCAATGACTGCTAATTGAAAATATGATGATGCTTGAGATTCACCTTATGTTGCTAAAACACTCAGAAGAGTTATTTCTTGAAATACTAATTGGTGCTTGCCTGTTGCCTAGTTCTGTTCCTTACTAACGACGAAACATTTAATTAAAGTTAGTTAAAGAAGTGTTTTGTAGCTGCAAACTTGGTGGCATAACATGCTATATCTAGAATGATTTATCATACAGTCACCCTTCTGGGCATACCTATATGTAAAGATGCATGCATTTACATATTGCTTTGCCTGATCTTGTGCTTATTTCAGCAGTTCCTGGTTCTCTTTCAAAATCTTGCTTTTGGTCTTCATAAAGTTGAGGCAACTCTGCATCTTCTTGGAGAATTTTGATCTAATTGAATTTTCCACCTTGTTGCCAATTTTTAACTTTGGCATGAGCTTTTGTTGATTGTAGAAAATGTTTCTGGTACTACCAACTATAACCTTGATTTTTTTTTTTCAAATAAAAAAAAACGAAATCCTGCTTGCAAGTTTATTATTTTTTCTGTTGGGAAGGTGGGGAATTTGATTTGAACAACATACCTTGGTCTGCTAAATGGATGAATGATGTTTAGATATCTTTATTTATGACAATTTCACGTGTGAATATTGTGACATCCACAAAAAAAGTGAGATGAATTTAGTTTTACATTGAAACGTAGAACATGCATTATGCAATCGCATTTCATCGTCTAAAGTCAAATCTTGTGAAAAATTAATATCAGCTGAAACCTTCGTCTATTCTCTTTATGTCTTTCGTCCATTTGTGATCCTTCAAATCTGAATTGTATTTTCCTTGTACAATATAGATATGCCTTCTCTACTTCTCCTGTGTAGTTGATAGTCGTTATCAAATTTCCAGGCTACCACATTGCATACATTCTGCACAAAGTTTTATAACGAAGTGTGAAACTAGGTTGATGCTTGATGATCCTTGATATCCTTGGAGTTACTGCATTTGCCTTGTAGCCATAACCGTGTTATGGATCCCTGAAGTTATTTAAATTCATCAACTATCTTTTCTAGGTTTTAATTAATTGATTTTTTGATCCCTGAAGTCTCACTTGATGCATCGATCTGCCATGTAGGTCAAGCACGAGTAACAGCAATGTATTTAGTAGTGTCCAAGTCTTAACTCTGATCCTTCAATCCGCTACTCGAGGAAAACTGAAGCTTACAATTGGAATATAGTTATATATTACCCTTTGAATGAGAAAATGTTTACATGGTGAAGAAAAAAAAAGGTTTTCTATTCCCGAAACTTAAATTAGGAGATAGAAGTACCTGCAATGTGCGCATCATTTTATTGTAAGGGAAATGAAGCGATTTTCAGACTAACTCTTCTTCTTTTGCATCTGTTCACTGTTGGGACCGATTGACCAATAATGCAGGAATTGAGATTTAATGAATTTCACTTGTTGTAATTGAAGTATTGAACAAGATCACAAATAACCCAAGAACAAGATTAAAGTAAGTAAAAGAAATAAAAGAACTGGTAGAGGAACGATGTTATTTTATTCCATCAATGAAAGGAGAGAATTACAACTGGACAACAATAATGCTTCGACAATACTGAAAGAGGAGCCTTGTATTTATAGTATAAAATCTAGCCCTAAAAGAGTCTTAAAAAAGGTAAGAAATCTAATGCAATTTAGACTCCTATTTGAGTCACACTTCTAACAATCTCCACCTTGACTCAAA